ACCAACGTTGACGAAGACACAATCTACCGCGTTGGGAGCGTTTCGAAGCTCATGCCTGTGCTTGCCCTGCTCCAGGACAGCAACGTTAGCATCGAGGACCCCGTCACCAAGTATCTCCCGGCCTTGAGAAATGCAAAGGGCTCGAGTGAGGTCCTTTCCGTCGAGTGGGATGATATCACCATCGGCGCGTTGATGTCGCATCTATCTGGACTTTCGACTGATAGTGGGTCTCTCCCGAACCCGTACAACTTGCTAAAGTTGTTGAAGTGGCTAACAAACTTGTCGCAGCGGCCCAGGACCTCGCTCTATATCCGACCGGACCGTGGACAAAGATGGGTCTTCCAGAAGTCGCCAAGGGTACCGGACCCTCGTGCTCCGGCCTCCCTGGAACTAAACTCTGCAACGCCACCGATCTCATCCGCGACATGGCACGTCGACCGCCCATATACCGAGAGTTCACGACACCGGTATATTCCAACGTTGGCTATGCCCTTCTCGGTCTGGTCGTTGAGGCCGCAACGAACCAGACCTTCAAGGAAGTCATACAGAAGAGCATCTTCGATGTCCTTGGCATGGCCAGTTCTTCGTTTGATGGGCCACCTAAGTCTTTTGCCGAAAAGGGCTTCATCCCCGTCAAGGAGAGCACCTGGAACCTCACACTTGGAGCGTTCGAGTCGTAAGCACCCCCTTTCCTTCTTCGATGCTTTCAAACACCCGACTCATCTATTCCGTCCACAGCTCCGGTGGTATGTTCTCCAGCACCAACGATCTCATCAAGTTCGGCGAAGCTATCCTCGAGCACCGCGTCCTCTCCGGAGCCAAAACCCGGAAATGGCTCCAACCCACCGCCCACACCACCGCCACCGGCTTCTCCGTCGGCGCCCCCTGGGAAATCGGCCGAACCAACACCCTGACCCCCGACAACCGCACCCTCGACGTCTACACCAAGACCGGCGATCTCGGCCAGTACCACGCCGTCATCGCCCTAATCCCCGACTACGACCTCGTCGTCACCGTTATTTGCGCTGGCGCCGAAGTCTCCCGCGAGCCCGTCTCCCGCACCATCATCCTCACCACGGCCCTGCGCGCCCTGATCCCCGCCCTCGACCAAGCCAGCCGAGCCGAGGCCTCCTCCAACGCCTACACCGGCACCTTCACCTCCGCGTCCACCAACTCCACCCTCAGCATAACCACCGACTCCGGCCCCGGCCTCGTCATCTCCTCTCTCTCCATCCGCGGCTTCAACACCCTCTCCCAATTCTCCTCCTACTCCCTCTCCGCGCTTGAATCCGGCGCAGCCGCCGCTGCTCCCCCACCGCCTACCTCCGCCCGTCTCTACCCGTCCAACCGCCGCGCGGAAACAATCTCCACAACCACAACCGACAACACCAACGTCACGGAAACAGCCTGGCGCGCGGTAATCGACACTGCGACCGAGGACGCGAAGAAGAAGCTGGACGAGCAGATCTTTTATAACGACGGGAGCTGTGTGACGTGGTTTGGCATGGACCGGGGGGCGTATAATTTCCTGAGCCTGGCGGACTTTGTGTTTGTGACGGACAAAGGGGGGAAGGTGACGGCGGTTAGGAGTCCGGCGTTTAATGTTACGTTTGTGCGGACGGGGGATGAGGTGATCGTGGACCGGGATGTGGGAGTGGGGCAGGGGAGCACGTCGGGGGCGAGTAAAAGGGGATTGGGGTGGGGTGTGGTGGTGGGAGTGGTGGTGATGGGACTGGGGCTGTCGTGATGTACTGTAGAGCTTGGAAGAGTACCTGTCTGTCGAGGTGATGATGATGGGAAAGCGCGTGCCTGGACGCCGTCCGGAAGAGAATTTGTGCATTGCCAGTGTAGTGATACTAGAGAAAGACTGTAAGAAGGAACGATTTGTGCTCATACCCAAAGAAACACCCTTCCCGATTCGTCTAATGCAAAATGCGAATGCCAATGCGTCCCCCGTCCATACACCGTGACCTGACCCATAATACTCCACTTATGATGACCCGTCCTCAAGCTCAGAGATCCTCTCACTCTGCGCTTTGATCCGAGTTGTGCCTCGGGTCGCCCTTGAGCTTCACCGTCGGCAGCTTGGTCATGTGCACCTTGGCGACGCCGTAAAAAGGAAATTTTGTACGCCCAGATTCGTCTCATACAACACTTCAGGTGTCTTCAATCGCAGTAAGAGAAAGCCGAGCCCGCATCATAATAATTAGGTAATTATTCCATCATCTCAAATCCAGTACCAACTCTAATCCAGACTCTCAAACTCCCCCGGCAACTCCATCCCCTCGGCCCAAGCCTTGACTCCCATCGCAAAAACCTCCGGAAACTGCAGGTCCCACGCATGCACCGCGTCCTTGACCACCACCGCCCGACTTCCCACCCGCTCCGTTACTCCATTCTCCCTCCACACCCTCCCGACCTTCCTCGCCGCTTCGACATCGTCCTGCTTCCCCCCCGCGACATTCAGCACCCGCACCTTATCCGTCGCCGCGACCTCCTCCCACCGCAAGCAAGCCAGAATGCTGGTGTACACGGCGCTAATCACCTCCCATCTCCTGTTCCTGTGCATCTCTACCTTGAGCTCGTCATACCGCTTCAAACCCTGCTGCTTGACCAGCCACCAGTACACAGAGTCCGGGAGGACGTCCATGATCGCCATGATCGCGTAGGGAATGGAGGGATAGCCTGCCATGATGGCGAAGAGGCCTGTCTCCTATCAGCTGCTATTATGCTGGCATGAGAAGGGAAAAGGGGGGAAGACCTTCAAATGGCGCGGCGCCTGTCACGAAGGCGCTGCTGCACAGCTCTGGATACCGCCTTGCGAGATCCAACGTCACGAACCCGCCCATGGAGAGACCGACGACGTGCGCGACGCCGTCGTGGGCGTGGGCGCGGACGAGACGGGCAACGGCGTCAACCATGGAGGGGATATCGTAGGCGGTGATGTGGGAGGAGGCGCTGTGGCCGGGGAGGTCGACGAGGAGGAGGTGGTAATCGGGGAGGTGGGGGATGAGGTTGGACCATTCGAGGTGGCACGATAAGAGGCCGTGGAGGAAGACAATGGTTTGGGGTTGTGAGGGATTGAGGGAGAGGTGGAAGAGCTCGCCTGGGGGTTTGGGGGTGGGTTGTTGTTCCGGGGCTGTTGGGCTCTGGGAAGGGGGTGCGACTGTGGCCATCATGATAGATTCTGGGTGGAGTTGATGGGTGGGTGAAGAGGAGAGGTGTAGATTGAGATGTCGTCGGGCCAAGAGTATCTTGGCGACCGTTGAGATCGTGCATGTATGTGGGGGTGGCGTGATCTTGCAGCTGGGCCATGCCCAATCATGTGCCGTGAAGCACACAAGATCAGGAGACGGGACAACGCAGCGAAATAAGATTTGTGCGCTGGTACTAAATCCTAACATGTCATAATCACTGAGGCGGTATATAATAATAGGGAACCGTAATCATAGATCCCATCTGCCTACCTACAATTAATATTATTCTTCACCTTGCGCTCCTGAAGCTGCTTAATTCCACCAGGTATTTATACATGCCAAGTACGCCGCGGAGAGACATCCCTCCGACATCCCAACCCTTTAACAAACAAAAGACTTACCCCCTAACACGGTCTTTCAAAAAATTCACTAGCAAATATACTCCCTTCGTAAGTAGTACTTAATCGGAGGCTTCTATCTCTCTTCGACGAGGTAAAGGTTAGCTAGGCCTTAATAAAGCTTCTTATAGTAACTTGGTTCCTTTTAAGCGCTTTATCTTTTTAGTCGAGTTAATACGGCTGTTGTAATCGGATTTAAGGTCTCGTTTAGTATCGGGGTCTCGCTTAAGCCTGTAGATAAGGTTACTTAGTTAGTTAATAGGTTAACAAATAGGGAGTAATCTTTAGGGATAGGAGCCTTAGCGTTTAGTTCGTAAGCTACTTTAACGTCATTAAAAAGGTTATCTTGTATCACGGCGTACACGGGGAGGCTGAACGTAGGGGGTGTGGTGGATAAATGATGAAGCACAAGGAGTGCGAAGATCCAGGAGCGAGGGCCGCTCCAGAGGTAAGCTCCGGAGCGGTGCCGAGGGTGATCACGTGACCTGTGCGCTATCTACTCTATCTGCACGTGACCAAGGAACAGGCAAAGCCTGTGACATCTTGTTACAACCTGCACCCAAGGAGAGTCAGACTGCAAGGCAGTACGCCGCGGGTAGTTAGACGGTAGGGAACGAAAGTTGCGCAAGGTCCAGACGGGACTGTTGTACCGTCTATAACAGGGTGTTCTACAAAGAGCTTGAAGAAGGTGCTTGCAAGATTGTAGACGGGAACATGATATTGCTTGCGTGAGGAACAAGAGCAGTTCCTCACACAACGGCGCGGTCTACCCATCTATATAGTAACTATCTAAGTGCTGTAGTAGCAGTGTGCAGAGGCAATCTATGCCAAGAGTCCTCGACTCTCTCCTGACTGGCCCCTATTGTTCCACAAGCGAGGCCCTCCTGATTGGTCGCTCTGGCTGCCGGCAGGCAGTCGAGGCCCAATGTCGTGACCTGGGTCATGACAAAAACCGTGACGTGCTGTCAAGTAGAAGAAGCAGCAAAGGCAGCAACGAGACTTAGCAGGCTGTCTTTGAAACATCTTCGATGCTAGCTGCAGGAGATCGGGTTTATGACCAGAATTGCGGCTGGACGAGAAGTTGCGTTTCGGTGGATTATGAGTGCTCGACTTCCTAACCACATTGCCGGATACTAACATAAAGAAGCTGAGACTGATGAGGGATGCTCGCGAGGGAGCCAGCAATGCAAATTCTTTGTAAAACAACACGCACACTGGATTTAGTGGAATTGATGCAATTGAGACTTCCACATTGTCTGACATTTGTTCGGCTTCTTTCCCTGCTTTGCTAGAGAGCTTGCGCAGAGAAAAGTGCTAGGCCAAGACTGTATGCGACATCTATAGATGCCATTACGCAAAACCATCTAACCAACCAGCACTACGACAGGTACCCAACACCAGCAAATCTTTCGTAGTATAGTGGTCAGTATGTGAGCTTATCATCTGAGCCCGACATTCGCTCGAGACTGGGCTCAATTCCTAGCGGGAGAGTCCATTTTACCTAGCCGTGCTTTTCTTCGTTTTGGCTTACCAAAACTTCCAGAACTGATGGAAAAATGTAGAAGGTAACACCAGTCTCAGATTTAACTCAACAAAAATGGAATAGGACGATGTCGAAGGACCATTATGTGCACAAAGGGGATGGGCAACTTGAAGCGGAGACGGGACGTCGGCTGCCGTTTTTTATTCAAGTTTGAGGGGGGCAACGACACAGACCTAGGGAGGGGGGCCACCGTGCCGTCTTCCCATCCATAGTCTCCCCTCGTAGGACAATCTGGGGGGAGGGACTGTCTGATAATTGGGTGGGTGGATTTGGCCGAAGAGGAGGGCAGCGTTCCAGGAGAGGCATTGCGAGCGTGGGGGTTTGAGCTTGGTCGAATCAGCGAAGTCCAAAACGTAAAGATCGTAATGGTGAGGAGACTTGCGGCTGATCGGTAAGCTGTCGGACGTGGCGGCCCATTACATCTCTGATCATCGAGCACCATGGTAGGTGCCTGCCCGGGCGGAATTAAAGCTTCACGACTTCCCAAGCAGCCCGATGCGCCCGTTCTCTTCATCTCTGCAACTACCGCCCGGTTTGGAGTGGGGGAAAAAACGCCATGAAGATCCAAAGCGACATCTTCGGGCGCTACCCACTCTCGAGTGGCTCTTCCGACTCGCAACTCGCAGCAGAGATCCGGCTCGCCCGTATCTTCCCGTCATACTTTTCCAACTACCATGACGCCAGCAGCCCAACGCAGAAAACCTCCCTTAACCAGGACTCGGACGCCCTCGTTGTCACCCTCGAAACCACTTCGTTGCAAAGAATTCGAGACAAGGACATCCACTTCATTGTGCTGTCGTTCGAACACAATGATCCCACGCCGACCGACGACCATGGCCTCGACCTTGTCAACATCACTGTCTGCGGCGCGCCATTTGCCGTTCCGCAGGCGCTCAAGTCCGCCTTACTTGCCGGCGCAGAGTTAGTCGGACCGCACGAGTATCCCCTGATGTGGGTTGACTTCCTTTGCGTCGATCTCCGGGCCTCCAAGGAGCGGTGCTCACAGCGCGCCCTGATGGGCTTCATTTACGCCCATGCCCACAGTATCGTTCGCTGGGAAACCGAATGGTCTGTCGACAGGATGTTCTCTTCGGTTCCATCCTCGCCCTCTCTTCGATTGCGGCGATCCGAGGGAAAGAACTTGGTCCCTAGCGCGCTCATTCCAGATGAAAGTATTCTTCGGAGCGACGTGTGGGATCGAGAAGGAAAATCCGACAAGGAACAATCCACCGAGCCGCATGCCAACAAAGAGGCTACTCTGGCCGGGGAAGTAGAGAGCTTCAGATGCTGGGCAGATTGGTATGTGAAGGTGGTGCGGAATTTGGGGCCCTTGGAAGTCGGAGGATCAGAGGTCCAGTTGGATGAGATTCGCAGCTCGGATCCGCACGACAAGACTCTGCAAGCGTTCTCCAAAAACGCAAACCTGCTCATGGACATCGCCCTAGACGGAACAGGGAAAGGATTGGAGAGAGTGTAAGTTTATCGCCCCTTCTAGAGAACAGCTTGGTTTCATGCGACGAATCTGGGCACAAGAAATTTCCTTTTCCGTTCGCAATCCTGAGCTGGGGTGAGCTGGGGGTGAGCTGCGACTGATTTGTCCTGAGCTCTCCCTGATTCTCCCCTAAGCTGGGGCGATCCGATACACCGCCGCCGCACAGCCTCAGAGGCCCCTTTTCAGGCCCCCCTGCTAAACTTTCCCATCGATGGAAAGCAGACGACGTGTAATCTGTAAGGATAACTCCCAGGCAATAATTCCAATTACGACGTTAACGCGTACTAGGTGTACGTGTGACTCGGGCCGGAAGTACTACCAAGTAGTACGGATGGAGTTGCTGACGACTATAGTAACATCACTTGCCTATACTTTTATCTGGTTAATAAGTCATTATCTGCCATTAGGGATATATAAGCTGCATTGTCAAATTTTTAATTCTTGTTAGAGAGATACTAGAGAATTTAGTAGCATTAAGTAAATTTGTAATAAAATTCTGATCTTAATAGGATAGAGTTCCTAAGCTCGTCGAACTTTAGGTGCGAATAAGACGTACTTTATTCTGCCGGCAGAAAAACATGCAGCGTTTGACTCGCCTTCCTCCGTATTTTACACCGTTTCTACTAGCAGAATATAAGACCCAGTTTTCAGCCATAAGCCTACATTGTATCCCCACTCCCGGCTATGTACCTTTTCTACCAGCAGAATTTTACCCAGTCAGTGACTAAGTTTTCCACCGTTATTATACATTACCGGTAGAAATTTACAACTTAAATTAAGTAACCCCAGTTTTCGCACCAAGCCCAGATCTTATTTCTGTTACCTCAGGATTCATACCTTTTTACTAAAACAGGACGTTTAAATTACGGTATCTTCGCAACTTCCCTAACTCGCACTCTTCACTTATATTCCCATACACCAGGCCGTATTTTAAGATACACCAGATCTACTAACAAAGAAACCTTACAACTATCACTCACGAATAGTCCCAGGATGTTAATGATTCGCGAGAACACTTGCTAGCTCTACACCATTTTCAGAGATAGAGGGCGACGCTAACGCGGACGATCTCGATAATCATCTGTTAGATCTCTATACTTCTGTGAGGAAATACCCCTGACACACACAGCACACAGCACACACAGCACACTAGTATAGTGGATTTTCAAGGGCGTTTTGGTGGCAAATCTAGAGATCCAAGAAGCTAATGCAGGTGCAGGAGTAATCGAACTGCTTGGCGGATCTACAAAAGGGCACGAGCCATGCATCAAGCAGAACATCACAACTTCACCTTTACATAACATCTTCCATTCATCATGAAGTCGCCCATCCCGGATTACCTCAAGCAGGTGCTCGAACACGTTCGGCCCCAAGATGGCGGCACGCCAGCGGATTACATCGAGACACTCGCCAAGGCGGACACGTCCCGACTCGCCGTGGCGTTGGCCATGGTAGACGGCCAGATTTACTCGGCTGGCGACGACACGGTTGAGTTCTCGATCCAGTCCATCTCCAAAGCTTTTGTCTACGCCATGGCCATCGAAGACGCTGGACTCGAGGCCGTGCTGGCCAAGATCGGTGTCGAGCCGTCGGGCGACGCCTTCAACAAGCTGTCCCTCGAGCGGGGTAGCAACCGACCGATGAACCCCATGATCAACGCCGGCGCCATCACCGCCCATCTGAGCAACGTACCGAGCGCGTCCTCTCCGTCCTCTCCCGCCTCGCAGGTCGACAGCTCAGCGTCGACGAGGAAGTGTACGAAGCCGAGCTCCGCGACGCCGACCGCAACATGGGCATCGGGTACATGCTCAAGGCTGCCGGAATCATCACCTGCGTTCCCCGCGAGGCCGTCACGGGCTATATCCGCCAGTGCTCCATCAACGTCAACGTCAAAGACCTGGCCATGATGTTGGCCACTCTGTGCAACGCCGGCATTCACCCCGTCACAGGCGAGAGCATCATCCCGCAGACGAGCGTCCGCCAGGTATTCTCCGTCATGACCACCTGCGGCATGTACGACGCAGCCGGCGCCTGGGTCTCGCGCATCGGCATCCCCGCCAAGAGCGGCGTCGCCGGCGCCATCATCGGTGCCCTCCCGGGGCAAGTCGGCATCGCTACGTTCTCTCCCCGCCTCGACGAGCGCGGGAACAGCGTGCGCGGCGTCAAGATTTGCGAAAGGCTCTCCAGTGACATGGGCCTGCACATGATGGATGTCAGCCAGATCGCCGTGGCCACGGTGCGCACTTCCATGGCTACCATTATCAACTCCGGCCCGGACGCCCACACGGACAACTGCAACCGATCAGTCGTTATCTTTAGCATGCGCGGTGTTGTTCGCTTCGGCGGCTCGGAGCGTCTCACTCGTGCCATTGTGCGCGAACTGGATGCTCCGAACCCTGAGGACCCGGGCTCGGGGAGGGCTCATGACGCTTGTGCGGTTGTGTTGTCGTTTCACGAGGTGTTTTCGCTTAGCCCGGTTGCGAAGAGGGTTAGTCATGAGGATATCTTTCGGTTGGTGAAGGAGGGGAGGCTGGTTGTGGCGATTGATCCCGGGGATGTGTTGCAGATTGATAGGGGGGCGGCGGGGGAGAAGTTTAAGGTTGTGGAGACGGAGGAGCAGGCGAGGTACGAGATTGGAGGGACGGGATGTCAGGCTGTTGCGCAGAGTAATGACTGGTAGGGAGGGGCGAGAGAGAGAGATGGAGTTTTTGGGGAGGTTGAGTCAAAAGTTTGGTTTACCAGGGTCATACATGTGAGAAGAAAATGAACATGCATACAAGGCATCCACTGGAAGTGAAGAGTTTCTTGCATGGATCATAGTACATATCCTAGGAAAACTTTTCATCGAACAAGGCGAGCACAAGACGACTACCAAGCAGATAGATCATCAAAGAGAGCCAATAAGAAACAAACAATGAAGGAAGTGGATGAGTAACGTCGAGTTGTCAAGCGCGGTTCATACACACGCTTGCAGATGCGGGCCTAAACGGGTTGCGCAGCTCGCTGGAGCAGCAAGAATTTCTTCCTTCTGCGGAGGATGGTCACAAGCTTTCCAGAGGTGACCAACGTCCGAATTGCATCTGCGATTGGACGAACAGCCCAGACACACATACTAATCCCACTCCAGTGATTAAGGTCGCCCCCTTGCAGTTGAAGGCAACCACACCAGCCGCAACTACCCGATTCGCAGCTCGTCCGAAACCCCGCAGCTTGCGAGTCGAGTTGCACAGCCATCCACCCTTCGGCCTAAGCACCGTCAATAATGTTCTTCACTCAATCTGCCCCTCCCGGCCTCCCGCCACTGCGGCATTCACCCGCAACACCAGCATGGCGGATCCATTCTCCATCGCCGCCAGCTGCGTCGGCCTGCTCGCGGCAATCAGCACCGCGACCGTTCGCATCGGCGGATTCGTCCACAACGTCCGAACTGCGCGAACCGATCTCGACTCCGTTTCG